GGACAGCAATTTCATCCTCGACACCGAACCATCTTATTTTCTCCTGTTTGCAGGTATATTAGCCAAAATCTCCAGTCCTTAAGGATAAATAAGCCAGAATTCTGAATTTTCATCAGATCTGACACAAAATATTAGGCTGTGACTTTTGGTGCATATTGGTTTTACTGTGTGGGGCATAAATATTCATCTTGTGTGTCATTTGATAATGTTGTTGTGTGGGGGTCTTTCTCACAGCATGTTATTAACTTTCCTTTTACACTTAACCATTCTATCATGAGTCATATCACCAAGATAAAATATTTTCAACGGTGGCTTTATTTTAAGACAAGTATATTCCAATGATAAAGTCATTCAGATTTTACATAAAAAGATTTACAAGTTCCTGTGGTGATGCTCTTGAACTACAGTCTCCTGCCTTTCCTAGCCCAGCCTGGTTGATGTGTCACAGAGTTAACTGCAACCAGAGGACAAATGGGGGTGGAAAATTCCCCCCACGCACATCCCCCAGCTCCTCTGAGGGTTTTCCGTTTAAGCCCAGTTGGTGCTGTTAGGTGTAGCTGGGGGGAAATCCAGTTTGCAGACCCTGGAGCACTTCCCCGGCCAGTGCAGGGCAGCAGCAGCTGCCTTCCCCTTCACTCAGGCACCGGTGGGTTATCTTGCTGCTTCTCCCGATGACTTCAGTCGTGGTTTCTAGCCAGACTGATTCTTCACGTGGTTTTTGCCATTATCTGAACGAGCAGCTTAATCTCATCTCCGCTGACTGTTGACACAGCTCGCCCAGATAGGGATGAGCCACAGAGCCAGTCCTGGGTGGGTACCTCCCTGCTCCTGGTCCACACCTCCTCAGTTGTGGTGTCTTCTGCACCCCACCTCTGGGCGCCAGGGAAGAAGCTGCTGTGCCCCTTTGAACTCCTGGTTTTGGCTGCCCCTGCCCAAAACGGCGCACGTGAGCACAAGGAGGAGTGATGGCTAAGCATGCTCCTTCTCTTCGGAAGAACCGGGCAGGTTATATAGGAGGAAATTAAATGCACTGATAGGGAAGCAGGCCGTGCGTTTTTTCTGACATAGGTATCGATATCATCTTGGGTTTAATTTACAGATTTCAGGGAGAGATCCTGCACTTGATGTCAAGAGCACTGCAAATGCCTTCTCAGCCTCAGGCAATCCTTCAAGCGGTTGCAAGCTACAAGTGTTCCAATGAAGCTGTTTCAACCAGAAAGAAATATTCTTCAGCTTCACTTATAAACGCACAAATTGTAAGGAAAACACATTTGCTAATCTGTGATGGTATTGCATGTAACAGACTGGGTTCCTTGACTTCACGGGGACTAATTTCTGCACACATTTGTGTAAGAAGCATTGCACTCCACCAAGTGAGGCGTCGCTTCAGAAAACACCAGTTCTGTTTGCACATCTGTGCTCGTTTCTCCCTGCTCACTGGTGCGCAGCCTTCCTTAAATATTTTTTTTCTCCTGTCCGCATCTGTGAGAAGCTCACCAACTGGTCTTGACATGTGGGCTCATTTTACTTAGCCCTAATTTTACACGCCTGTTCTGAACACTCGTGTGTTTGCCCACCCCGCTGCGTATTCATTGCTCACCTCCCTCATTGCCCACCCAGATTCGCTGGTTTTCTTGAGCATGATGACATGATTTTCTGTGTCCAAAACATCTTTCATGCTAACTGGAGTAATAACCATGTACATTCATCATGCTCTTCTGAGATCATCTTTCTTGGTTTGTTCATTGCAAACTGAAGAACTTACAGTTTTCATCCTCTTAAACATCAAAACTCTTGTTATTTTATTTTAACAACAAAACCGCTCTTTGAAACACACTCTCCGTATAGCTGAAATCCAAGCTAGAAGGTGTTTTCTTGAAATAAGTGCTTTTTTACCTTCATGCTTCCTTTTGCCAGTTGTGGTATCTGGTGCATCTTCCTTTACATTTGCATTCTTTACTGCTAACCTGACCTGCCAAGCAGTATTGGAAGCCCTCAGAAAGTGGAAAAAAAAAGGTAACCTGATTAAAAAATATACAAGAGGTTGTTAAACAATATAAGTTTAAAAATAAAAAACCTTACAATGTCCACTTTGAAAGATTGTTATTTTTCTAGCTTTTCCTGCAGCTGTGAACGCAGATGCTTCTTTTTAAAATAAAGATAAGGTTTCCTTGCAATCGCAGTGACTCCAGGAGCTGGGTCTTCAGGTTGATGTAGTACTGTGATTTGATGGCCTCTCATGATCCTGTTGCCCATGTGTGCAGGGCTGCACTGAGAGCTGAAACCCTCATGGAGCAAAGTGCATCTTCCCCTGGCAAGGATACAGATCTTCCCGTGCTGTAAACCTGGCCAGTCAGCATGTTAAAATGCTGAAACCCCTTTTCAGTAGATGCACCGTTGGCTCTTCAGTTCATACGAGCTCAGTTTTCCTGTATTCCTTGCTGTAGCAACAGTTTTGCTTTTAATAATTTGCCTGTTTCAGAAAGAAAATTCTTTTATCGAATGGAAAGCATGAAGAAACCCTCGTGTTGAGCGTAGGCGGGGGGGTTAGGTTTCATTCTACCCTAAGCTGACCCCTGGGCAGAGAGATTCCTGCTTTCATGTTTTAGATCATGTGTAAAACCTGATGCTGGCTGGATCATCCCGCGCAGGGCAAGAATATCTAGGGAACATGGGGCGAGATATGGAGTGAGACATTTGCAGAAGGGAATGAAATGTTTGGGATGCAACCTCATGCTTTCTACAGCAGTGACCATCAATCACACCTTCTCAGAAAAGCGTGGCACTAAAAGTCTTCCTCCCCCCTCTTTTTTTCTTGTTTCCCTGTTCCCCACTTCTGTTTATTCTCCTTACCTTCTGATGTGCTGTGGCAAGTGCAATTTTAGCTCAGAAAGCTAACTTGCCCGTGAAAACACAGAGCCTTCCCTGGTTTTATTCCTTTGGCCATTGGGTAAGCAACAGTTAATTTTGTTCTACCAATGATTTATGACTGAACAGATTTGGAGTTTATATTTTTAGTTTTATAGGCAATTTAGATAATGTATATCTGTGACCATAAATATTTGGTCCTCTTACAGTCTGTCAATGAATGTTATACCCAGTTGGAGAAAATTATATAAACTGAAGAGGCACAAGCACTGTGTTCCTAGTGTAGCCTCATGGTTCTCTTCAAGTACCCATATAGGTAATCCTTAAAGGTAGTAGTATTTTGAGCATCTCTTGGTAAATCATCTAAGAGGGTGCCATCCAGAAGAAATAACTTACTTTTTATAAGTGATCCAATTCTCTATAAGTCTTGGAGTAAAAAGCTGTAGCATCAGTGCTGAGGAAGTATTGAATGTTTTTTTTTACCAGGAACTGCATACTTATAAAAAACAACTACCAAACCTCTTTCATTTGCACTCCTTTGTGTTATTTTTTGACTTTTTTAATGGAGTCAGTAGACATTTCTTGAGAAACCAGAAGTTTTTACTGAAGAGTTCATTTTGCAAGTTTCAGAAAAAAATAATAGTAGTTCTTTTTAAAAAAAAAAAAAGTTTTGGGTTATATTTTCCTTATTCCCCCCCCCCTGCTTTTTCTAGCTTTAGTTTTTGGTAATTCTGCAGACACAGCCCTTGCAGTGATCCTGGGAAGATAGATACGTGCCATGCCACTCCTTGTACTGCTGCTGTCCCCTTCTGTTCAAAAGAAAATCATCTTTCTTTCCAACCCCAATCGCCAACTTTATTTAAGTAAATAGTAGTTAAACATTCAAATATTTTTTTCCAGGAAAACAGTAAAGTGTTGGGCACTGGCAGCTTGAAAACTTCGAACTTGAAAACCCCTGTAACTTAAAAATCATTACTTCCCCCTTGCACAAGTATTTCCTTCCCACCCTCCTCTCCAGCCAAGTGGGATTATTTCCTTGATAGATGGGGGGAAGCTTTTTTGGAGTCAGCTGGGACTGGGCATTGGGTGGGATCTGGGCTGTGCAGAGATGCCGGGACGCGAGTGCTGGGGGGTTCACTCCCTCTTCCAGCCCCCCGGGCACAGCTCTGCTCTCAGCAGCCCTCTCTGTCCAAGAGTGCCTCCCCCCAGGGGCTGAGCCCCGAGCCCCTTGCACAGCAATGGCAGCATGAAGAATTTGCTGTGGGCACACAAACATTTTATTCCTTCTCCAGTTTTCTTTTGTCACCGATTGGCATGACAAGTAGCTTTGCTTTAGGGTGGATGAAGGAATATGACACACATTGCATTAACCGGGGATACTGAACTATGCTGATGGTGTTTGTTCTTGGAAGCTCCCCAGGGTAAAGCAGAACCAAAGGAACAAATTTGACGTTCCTAACTTAAATTCCTCGATAAAATCAAAGTGAAGCTTTGACCAAAGCCAGTATTGTTATTTAAAGTCTGTTAGATCATTCTGCTAGTTTTGTTGGGACACCTTTCTGGTGTGGTATGCAGTTTCATAGAATGACAGAATAGTTTTGGTTGAGCTTTAAAGCTCAGCTAGTCTAGCCCCCTGGCCATGGGCAGGGACACCTCCCACCAGACCAGGTTGCTCCCAGCCCCGTCCAACCTGGCCTTGAACCCTTCCAGGGAGGGGGCAGCCACAGCTGCTCTGGGCAACCTCTGCCAGTGCCTCACCACCCTCATCATAAATAATTTCTTAGGGTGTGTGGATAAGTATGCACATACCTGTCGTATGGTCTGATAGAATAGTTACAGAAGAGTTAGTTTATCTGTTCTGTAATTGTTCTCAGGGGCTGTATGAGTTTGGGTGCTACACAAATGCAAGAAACACACAGTCTTTGTTGTAAGGTGTCTACAGCTTAAAGGTAAGAGGAGGTATATAATGGGCATTACGTAATTGTCATGTTTGACAGAAAGACCTTCTGTGTTTAAAAAAAAGGGCCCTCAAACTGTTTCTGGAATTAGAAGGGGGGGGAAAGAAAAAGGAGGGGGTTTCTGAAGATTCAGTGCTTAAATTTTTTTAATTCCCTTATTTTATTTTGTTTCAGGTTGCTAGCAACTGAGTTGACAGAACATTGCCCTACAAAGCGTTGGAGGGCCACTTCTTAATGGATTGCTGCAACCTCTTAATTTCTCCATTGATCCTGTTCCCTGCATCGTGAGAACATTTTAGCCAGCACAGAACCTAGAAGAGTTACATGTAAGTCATGATTCAAATTCCTTTCTAGTTAAAGAAAAAAAAAAAAAGAAAAAAAAAAAAAAAAAAAGGTCTTGGGGAGGCAAGGTGGAGGCAGTAAACATCATACTTTAGAAAAATACTGTAAAAGCTGTAATTCAACAGCAAACATTAGGTGGTGAATAAATTGTTATTGAAGTAGTTACTTGCTTTTTTAACCTAAATGGTGATTGTCATTTTGAAGGCTTTTGAAAGTGTTCTGCTACCACGGTAAACCATAGCGAGAAGTACTTAAAATAGCTCTCTTCACCCCATCCCCCTAACTCCACTTTGTTTTTCTCCACAACCGAGTAAGTGTGTGTACACCTACCTCGATGTGCTGTGCCAAAGCCTCGCGTGCTCCGTGTGAGTTTGGAGGCCATCCTTTGCTCAAGAGAACTGCAGGCATTCCTGGATTTTTCCCATCATAAAACCCATATCCTCCTCCTTCGGGGTTTCCTGAGTACTTCCCTCAGAGGAGCCCTGGCACTGCTTCTCCTTTCAGCCTGGTACGCTGAAAGGCTCTTTAAGCATCAGTAGTATCTTCACTGCCAACTCCAGCTCCTTCCAGGTGGAATTAGCTGCTCACCTGGCTGTAGGAGGGTAGAGAAAGCCGTGCACAGATCTGCTAGGGGCAAAGGGGCTTGAGGGGGCTGCAGACCCCTTCCTACCTCCTCAGTCTGGGTAGTTGCACCTGGTGCATGTTGTGTGCTTTGATTTTTCCTCCCAAGACAGGGAGTGGCTGTGGTACTGTGCTCACATTTCATCCCACATGATGGATAAATCCTCCTCTGAAACCTCTCGTAGCATCAGCCTGACACAGAATCAGTGGGTCATTCTAGAGGGGAGAAATTGGTTTGACCCTTTTTAACTTGTCAGCAGTTCTAACCCTAATTCTAGGATGGATCTGCAGGCAGAAGCAGCCTCTGGAGCATTTTAAGGTTGGCGTGATGTAGTGATCTGTACTGTCCAGACAGTGGGACACCCCAAAGCTGCCAAATTTGGAAAAAGGCCTGAGCACAACTTTCTTGCATTAATTCTTTAAATAAAATCCAATATTATTGTGGTTAGGAGGGTTTTATCTTTCAGATGGTCATGTAGAGCATCTTGTCAAAAGGCTGCCTGAGGCAGAGATAATGCAAAGTTGTGGTTTGCAGTGTGGCACTGTGCATGTTCCTGCCCTTCGTTTGCTCCTGTAACAAATTCATATGATGTAGTTTAACTATCAATCAGGTCAGGGGAGTAAAGCTGATCACAGCACTCATCTCTGGTCAGTTTTTCCTGAATGCTTACTAACACCGTTTTGAATCTTAGGAACTGATTTGTAATACTACTTCTAGAAAAACAGGAGTATTTTGGAACCGAAGAGTTTATATTAGAAATATGCCTTCCTTAGAGGTACTTTATTTGCATATGTGACACTAAAAGGGTTATTTAAAACAAGAAAAGTCTATTGCAAAAGAAGGACAGGATTTTTTAATGCATATGGAAATTCAGTTTTTAAAGAGAGGAGAATTTTTTTTCTGGTGTGATGAATATCAGCAAAAATAATAGTGAAGTAGTGGGCGATAGAGAAAGGCTGGGTAGTAACAGAATTCACTGTTAAAGAGGCCTTAGAAGGTGTTGGTTTGATTTTGTTTTCCAAAAAAGGGAGAGCGCTGACATTTCTTTGTGGGCCTGGCAATATATGGTGCAGTTATTAATCAAACCCCCTGATAGCAAGAATCATCCGACTACAGGGGAATTTTGGATCTGGCTTGAAACTTGTTTTCAGTGCTTGTCTTAAGGGAAGAAAACTTGAAAATATGAGTTGTAACAGCTAGGCAGGCAGAAACAACTCGTTCATTAGTCCTACTTAGCACCATTCCTATGAGGTTTGGAAGCCTTATTCAGAATTTTTTGCAGGCTTTTCTCATGATGTTTGAAAAGCTTATCATTAGGCATCTTGCAAATTGACTATTAAAAACCCTTTCAAAGGAACTAACTTTAAAATTGTCATCCTTCTCAATGGACTTGAAAAAGCAGCCAGAAACTGAATGGACATAGATGGAAAAAAACCTCTCTGATTCCAAGAGGTGCATAGGAAGTTTTGCCTTGCTGCTTCTTGTGCTGCAAATTATCAGAAGTCTCCATTTCCAGCCGTAAAATCAGGTCTGAGGGCCAAATAAACTTGAAAAGCACTGAAAGGATATAGGAGCCATCGTCAAATACGTGCTTTCCTTAATGTTTTTTTTCTTTCTTTCTTTCTTTATGTACTATGGTCATGTGCTTGAGGTACACCAAACTTTTAAAACATGATGTGTGCTCTAACTGCTAGAAGACGTGTATCACCTCACAGGTTGTCAGCCGGGGTTGCTCCCGTTGTGCTCGCAGGTCCGTGCCGACAGAGGTAGATGTGAGGGCAAGCTGCAGATTGCTTGCTTAATTTCTCAGTGTTTCCCTCTGTCTGGCCTTTTTAATAACAAGCTCTGCTTATAACAACTGCCTTATTACAGCAGTTCTCCTAGAAAGAAGCAAACTTCCCCTTGGTAATTAGCCCTGTTGGAAAGAGCAGTTGCACAAGGTTGACCCAGCTGTAACAACTGTATTCTTCTTGCTTTTCTCAGGGTGCAGTGTATTTTGTAAATAAGTATACCTTCCCTCCCTTCCATTTATCATTTAGATTTTATAATATTACTACAGTGCTGATTGATGTGATCTCCATAAAAATAGGAAGTGTTCATGTTTGAATTGAAAGCAGAAGGTATCTTCCTTGTTCCGATGGAGCAGATTGCAGAGCCCTGTTACAGTGCGTGTGCCAAGGTTAAAAAAAGACATTTCTCCAGGTCCCCTGGGAATTGATCCTGGGCAGGTTAGATCGCGTGTGTTACAATGAGGGACTACAGGAATTGGGGAGAAGCCGTGCCGTTCGCTGAGCGGCTCACAGTTTGCTATCCCAAACGGTCACTGATGGCAGCGTGGGGATGGGCTTTGCTCGGGCGCTGGGGACGCGGCCGTGCCTTGGGGCGGACAGATGCTGGGGCAGGGCTGCTGGCACCCCAGCAGCGAGTCCGAGCCGTTTCCACACTCTGCTCACGCTTCTCGCTTTGTTTTACCCCTGTGAATTTTCCTTTAAAAGCAGCAAAAATAACATCCCAATCAATGGCATTCTGCGTCTAATAAATTGTCCTAATTTGCACTGCTTATGCAGTGTTGAGAATTCAGCAAGGGCCTTTAAGTGCTTTGTTCAGGGGAAAAAAAAAAAAAAAAAGGCAACCCAAAACTCAGAAACCTCTGCACACAGATTTAATATTTGATAAGTATGAGTTCTTCAGAATATTCCAACATTTTTAAAAAATGCTTTCTTGAGATCTGTCCTACAACCATCTGTAGGCAGATGTAAATAATGTAAAATTTTAAGATGCAGAGTTTCATGATTAAATGTCTGTCACCCGCCTACCACCACAGCCTGGGAAAAATGTATCTTTTTTAAAATCTGCACCAAAAGGTCAGGTAACTTGACTGAATTAAGAGGGAAATCAGATTTCTGAAGGCAAAGTCACATCCCTTTGAACAATGACTTACCAAACACTCCTAAGTCTCAGTACGAAACCCACTTCCCAAGAGCCGTGGCTATAGCTGAGGACGTAGGTGGTTTTGTCCTACTGGATTTTGATGTGAGGTGTGGCTGTGTCTGGGTTTCATCTTTTTTTTCTGGTACGTTTTCCTGTGGGAGTACTGTTTCTATAGTGGAGAAGGCATTTTCTTACCCAGTTTATGGTACTGGCATACAGGGGCTCTGCACTTCATGCACCATTGTGTGGAGCATCTCCTGCCCCGGGGAGCTTCATGACCTCCCATGGCATCCTGTCCTGGGCGTTGCGTTCACAACTGCCAAAAAAGCATTTTCCTACGATCTCGGGGAAATCTTTGCCACTACTTAATCCGGTTACTCCTGCTGCCCCCGTGTTGAGAATGCATAAAGCCAGTGACTGCTGCCGGCACCGCGTCGGTCCCGCGGCGTGATCAGGTGCTTCTTGCCACCATCAGTGCCTCTGTACCCGAGGCAGGATGAGCCCCCAACCTGGGTGGGTGGGGACGGCTTTTGATAAGTGTTTGCTGTAAATATATCTGTTGATTAAATATATTTTTTATTTATGTATACATATGTGTGTGTTTATAAAAATCTTATATTTATACCTGGTAGCTCTCTATATATAAGTATATAATTTGAAAAAAAAAAAAAAGTATATATCTGGACAAACTTACTCGGTATGGTCTGAAAAGCACAGGTGTGGCTTCACGCACAGCGGCTGCGTGTGCACACGTGTGGGGGCGGTGAGCTGACGTCCTTCTCCGGGTGTTTCTGACCGAACACCCCGTGGCAGAGGCACCCCCGTCCGGGTCCCCGCAGCGACCGCGGGCCGTACGGCCAGGGGGGAGCATCCTGCTCCTGTGCAGCTGGTACGACGGAGGAGGACGGTGGTGTTGGCTGCAGTATAGCGCGCCGTGTGAAACCAAATCATGCTGGCACCTCTCCCCTTCGCTGCCATCGACCGCAGGTTGGTTTGTGCATCACCCCGGCGGTGCGACAGGCCGCGTGGGCGCCCGGTGTCTTTCTTCTGTTTACTCGGCGTTTCCCACGTGGCCGCCGTGTTGTGGCGAGGACTTTTTATTTTTCACTGCGGCAGGTGACAGCCCGTGTGTCAGCCCGAGGGACTGAGTCACAGCCCTCCCTCCGCCCGGGGCCGGCGGCACTTCCCCTTACGGGGCGGGGAGGCACGATGCCGGCCCATCTCCACGGGACAGCTTACCTGCCCGCGCGTTGCTTCACTTTTTTTTTTTTTTTTTTTAAATTTTTTTTACAGAAAGGACTGAGAGTTGGTGACGGTGAGATCAACTTTCTCTGTAACCCAAACCAGTGAAAAGTAAAATCCATCTCACCGCATCAGTTTTGTTTTCAGTGCTGGTTCAGCCTATCCTCTCCCTCCGGCAGAGCCCTGCAC